TGGGAGTTACTGTTACTCTCCATTCTTAAAGCTCAAATCTCGACTTAAATACTTGACTGACACGGGGATCCCTCACTAGCTAGTTCGGTTGCCAACTCATACGTATGAGAAAAAGCCATCCAGGCTTTCCTTAAACTTAAACTTAGTTAGGGGAGTCGTAACGATTCATCCCCCTAACATCTTAAACTTATCGTGGTGGCTCTTCACCACGATTCTCCAGAGCATAACTGCTGCTCTATCTCAAAGTGCCTCAAAAGGCAACGGACTGGCGCTAGTGAATAAAACTCTTAAAACGGTTTCACCTTCTTGAAGGTGAAATACTTCTTAAAAGAAAGCGTGTTCTTAAACTTTAACTTACTTATAAATAACACACGCATTATCATATGTATAACTGGAAGCATAAATCACACGCAATCACATGCATCAAATTAACACACTAAGGCAAGTATAGCACATAGTAGTCAATCTCAAAAACTGCAATATCGTAAGGCGTAGAATTTACCCATTTACACTCACCTTAATACCTAAAGTAGATTGACTCGAATTAACCATCTCCCTCCCTTGAACTTATTCATGCCTCCTGCCAAAATGCTTAGCTGATAGTATTAACTCCACAAGTTTTCATATCATTATCCAACCCACGAAGTTTTATAATTAACGTTATTCATGCCTCCTGCCAAAATGCTTAGCTGATAGTATTAACTCCACAAGTTTTCATATCATTATCCAACCCATGAAGTTTTATAATTAACGTGGGTAGGGAATGATTTGTTTACATCCAAGACCCCACCGCCACTGTTACTAAAATCCATTCTCATGCACTAACCTTCACGTATTAACACAAGGTTAAACCAATCTCTCTGTATAAATCCCATCTGTTAACTAATTAGTTAACTCGTATTCCATGATAAGCACACTACGAATGTGAAACAATCTCTAGAATTAATTGGACCAACGTAATTTCACTTACCTTTGGCTCGAGATGAGAGGGACGTTTTGGGTGAGCGGCGGATCCCAAATCCCTACCAACAGGGTCCCAATTGTCTCGCCAAAATCGCTCCCTGCTAGCCCTTCCAACTTGCACCCTGAACCTCCTGATTCTTGGACGCGTCCCACAGAACCTCGCGCCGCATCGCTACCCAAATCCTACGTCTTTCTTTACCCTCTCTGTCTCTGTCTCTCCCTATCTATTTCATTCTTCCTCTCAATTAGCTTTCTAGGCCCTGGAGTGCTTCTCTCATCTTCCTTATATATTCACGCTGTTGTTTTGCTGTGTGTTGTGTTGGCAACCTCTCGGCCTTGGATATGTTTGTAACGGAGGAAGAGATGGGAGGGGTCGTGGGGAATTGATAGTGAAGGCCGCTCGGCCTCTTATGGCCGGCGGTTATATATATATATATATACACATATATGGTGCCTTCTACGATACTCCAGGTGAAATCCAGGGTACCGCATACCTTAAGTATGAAAACACTATCTAGGCCTCGAATTAGCAGGATTTTTGGGCATGATACTATACCCTAACCCTTAATGAGTGAACCCTAGGTCCTAATTATCTAAATTATAAACTATAAACCCTAAGATGGTGCATTGATTTTTTTGCCTATATTTGGACGAATCATAACCGTCGATTATTGTTTCTAATTAAATTGATCTTGGGGTATGAATTTTAGAGAATTGAGACCTAGATGTTGATCTTTAAGGGTTAGAGTATAGTATCATGTCCGAGAGATTAGTCAATTCAAGTTCTAGATAGCGTTTTCTTACTCAAGGTATGCGGTACCCCGGATTTCACTATGGGTACTGTAGAACTCCCCATATATATATATATATTATTAATAATATAGTAATAATTATATTATTATTATTAATAATAAGAATTAATCCACGATTGTAACCCTTCGTACGTAACTGTTAATCCAACCGATCACGTAATATGGTCGAACCTGAACCCAAAGGTCGGGGTGTTACAAACGAGGAGAGTAGTGAGATACACAGCTGAGAGAGAGATGGAAGAACAAATGAAAAAACAAAGAGGAAGTGCAAAGAGAGAGTGAGAGGATACATTTAATTATTTAAAAGAGTAGGCAAATGAAGTAGTGTGAAATGACTACCCTTTTGTAAAAAAAAAAAAAGTGAAATGATTGCTCTTATGCTTTGATTAGTGGATATTCTTGGCCCTATTCCGTTGAGTTTTGATTTATTTTAGGAGATGACATTATATTTGACATATTTTTTGCATTTCAATTTAAAATCCTAGATCAATATTATCATTTGGAAGATTTTTTTCATTAATACGATTATTGTAATTTCTGAGATTTAAGGGGTATTTGATAATGTCAGTGGTTTTTTATTTAAAGTTTGTATTGAAAGATCGTACGTACTGACAGTTAGACCATAAAACTTCACATTATAGGCTAAATCGATAGGTGATATTTAGCAATATGAAATATTTGAACTACAATTTAATTATGACTTCAATATAAAATACTTTACTACCAACTTTTTTTATATGGTTTTACAATCCTTTTGTTCAAACAATTCATTTACACTAGTGGAAACAAAAGTTGTAAGGCACATTTTGAACTATCTATTGCAAAAAAGCATAAGTCAGTTTGTGATAATGAGAATATGCGATCTCATGCAACCCAAAAAACACTTTGCAACTTCTATCTTTTTGAAATAAATGTATGCTACTAATACCCTTGCTCATTCATCAACTTAATGAGTAACATATATTTCATGTAATATTATTTTCATACATTTTTATTTATTGCATTATTTCATGAAAAAATATTTGATGCATGCAAATTACTATTTTGTTGCTAGATATGTCTACGATCTGAGAATAATTTGGGAAGTCCGTACACAACACATTGTCAAACTAACTATTCGCGACAACTTAGCATCATGTTCTATATATTTCAAATCAAGCAACTTCAGATTCATTACCAACAGTGTGGTAAAAAAATGCTCTCTATTGGGAAAAACTTAAAGGACATACTAAACTCTATGAGACATTTTCTTTCATGTTAAAGGTTGATTATGAATGTATTATGAGAAGCAATTCTAATATTCAACTATATGGTTTAATTAAGTAATGAATGATAATTAGTCATATTTATTTTTTCATTCAATAATTATATGTAATGCTTATATTATATATTTTTTATTTTTTCACGAAGGTCTAAACACATTGTGCATAGTTGGATCACTTTCAAAAATGTTATGTGCATAACTAAGATAGAAAACAATCATTTCATGTATTTCAAATCATCTATTATATCCATTATTATATATCATATTCTTCGACAAAATTCTTTCGGCCAACGGGCGGGGTCCTGTGCTAGTTATGATTAATTACATAACAAGTTTGCAAGTCATACAAATTTATTCAACATTTTGACTAGTTTGTTTTTAAAAATTAAGTATATATAGGAGGTAGAATGAAATTAGTTAAAATTAAAAAAAATATTTTAAATTAGTGTAATAAAATGTGTAAGTTGGTAACAAGTAAGTTACTCGATGCGCTGACCCAAATAACCCGCAACCCGATCAGCCCACAACCCGCCCGACGCAAAATTCGATAAACTCGCAACCCGATTCAACCCGAACCCGATGAACCCACAACTTGACTAACCCACAAACCGATTGGACCCAAACCCAACTAACCCACAACCTGATTGAACCCATCCCAAATCCAAACCCGCCCGATTCACACCTATACACCTATGACCTATCCTTCTCCGGTTCCTCGATATGAGAAATCTTGTCAAAAGTCAAAACCCCGATATAAGAATGAATAGCGTTGGGCTTTCATTCAGCATGGTCTAGTAAATAGCTCTTGTATCCGAATGTAGAAGGCCCAGCAACGAAGGGGCTAATAGTATCATCTGGCCTTCCAAATAATTGAGTCACGAGCACCACTGTGCACGTACCGGACGACGGAACTGAAGGGGACGGGAGCGGATTAGATCAGTAACTCTATGGTCAGTAACCATGAGTAACCTGTACACATCAGCATGACATCAGTAGCCTCTCTCTCATGGAGAGTCTTTTATCTTTTCCCCTTTAATCTTTAACAGACGATTTCTCTCTCGTTTTAAGTCGAAATTTAATTTTTTTCACAGATAAATCAGATTAAATATGCTCTTCAAAATGATATCCACTTTGCTACATTTTTTTAGTACAAAAAAAAAAATTGAATAATTTTTTACCTGTCATTACCATATGGTATACTCCAATTTAATACTATATGGTAAGAAAGTGTACTATGATGGTATGAACATACCAATATGGTAAGAAGGTTGAATACATGATAGTAGGAGTATATTAACTGTCATTTACGACTTTTATCATTGTTTACTACAAGTTATCACAAGTTACCAATCACATACCATAGTGGTAAATTATGGTAATTTTTTATCCAGTATTTTTTCATTCAGAAATTTATAGACCCAATAGATCATGATGAACTCGTTCCTTCTGAGCAAACGTTTTCAAAAACGACTTAAAAACGAAGAAGTTACCATATGATATGTAGTTGGTAAAACAAAAAGTTTCTCGAAATATATTGAAAATTGATCTCATTTTGTAGAGCACAACGAACTAGTTCCATCTGTGCAAAAAAAATTAAAATCCGAGTTAGAACGAAGAAGATAAAAACCAATTAAGAAAACTAGAAAAAATAAAATATTTTTAATTGACCCACTTAAATTTAAATATAAAGTTAGAGATTTAGTTACTCATATATTAATAATATTGATTACTAACCTATCCTAAACCGAAGGGACCTGTGATTGTGAATTGCCAATCTTCCGAAGCAAGCTTCTTTCTCCGACGCTGACAGATACACACATCATCTCTCACAGCCTCCCCAGTCCCCACCCCATTCGTCTACTGTGAGCACCTATAAAGAAGAAAGAAGCCGGTCTTAGGGCTTCAAAAGTTACCGCCAATTTCACCGCCCTCCACACTCCGATCCTGTAACTCCCTTTGCTATGCTAATCGAGGAATTAAGTCCCGGCGCTCCTATGGCCGCCGTTGAAAAGCCCGGACCCCCGCTGATCTCTTCACAGCCTTCCTCGGCTTCTCGTCCCACTCCCAACGGCGGCGATGACGACGCTTCTCCCAAGAAGCCGCTGAGCAAACGGGAGTTCATCCTCTCCGTCGCCTCTAATCTCTCTTCTCAGACCCTCTCCAACCCTGACCCTAATGTCTGGGGGGTTCTCACTGCCATTTCAGATAACGCCCGCAAACGGCACCAGGTTACACACTAACCCTTTGCTCTCTAATCGCCTGCTTCCTTTTCACCTGCTTCTGAATCGTATTTTCCGTACATCTTTGTGGGTTTTTCTTCTTCCTGTTTGTCCCTTGAAAATTGTAAGAATTTGAACGGAGTGGGTGATGATCGTAACAGGGGATGAACATTCTCTTGACTGGGGATGTACACTGCTTTGGCCGATCGGTAGAAGACAAGCGTTTTCGAATTGAATCAAATGCGGTTAGTGGAAATCACTGCAGAATATATAGGAAAAGAGTCTTGGGAGAAGATTCGAACCGTCCCTTCATGGCTGTTTTTCTCAAAGATACTAGGTTGTTTATTAGTAACTTTCTAAAATGTTTCTCCTTTGCTTTTCATTGCTATACCCCTCGTTATGTTTGATTGAACTTCTGATTATGTAGCACCAACGGGACCTATCTTAACTGGGAAAAGTTGACTAAGGGCGGCCCTGAAGCTAAAATCCAACATGGGGACATCGTATCATTTGCTGCTACTCCTCAGCATGGTAATGTGGCTCTGGCTTTGGGAGCATTTTTATCATATTCATATTGCTCCATACCACCATGCCTCTATCCAGCAATTTTTATTCCCTCTTGCCTTACTGTGGACTGTTACTTGGTCTTCAATCCTCTCATTTGCTTTTTACATACTGTGGCAGTTATTTTATGACGTAACAATTTTGGAAATAAGTACTCTACCTTTTTGTACATGAACATGTTCTCCTTTCATTCTTTTCTGGGAAGAAAAAGCGTTCTTATGATTGACTCATGGCTATTCTGAAAAACCTTGCTGTGTTGTTCTGCTGTTGAACCATCACAGAGCTTGCCTTTGCCTTTGTATATCGTGAAGTACTGAATCCCATGCCAACGGTGAACAGTGCAAATGCAAAAAGAAAAGCAGGTACTTTAAGCAACTAACTCTCTATTTTTTCGGAGTCATTTGTTTTCTTGTACATTATATTGTTATGCAATGTTATAGTAGATGATTTCAGCTTTATTCTTTTTTTTCAGAAGAAGTTCATGGGGAATGTAAGAGAATTAAAGGTCTTGGCATTGGCGCTCCTGATGGTCCTATATCTCTTGACGACTTCAAAAGTCTTCAGCGGTCTAACACGGTACTTTGAGTTTCATCTGTTGGATCAGTTCTGAACATAACCATTCAATCGTCGTGCACAGCCACTGAATCCATAGGCTAATTGAATCAGGAACTGAGGAAGCACGTTGAAGGCCATGTTCTTACAATTGACTCATTACAGAAAGAACTTCGGTCAACCATGGAGCGTCATGAAAATGTATGTTTTTCTTAAAGATTTTTCTTGTATCTCTCACTTGCTTTTGGATGCCAAGCAATAGCTATCTTCTCTAGTTAAATGCGTTAGGTGAATCTGTCTGCATGCTCTAGGTGTTCTCTGATGGGGCCAGTGTAGGTTGTGGTGGATCAAATGCAAGGCATGCCATTATTATGATAGCACTCAAATTTTCTGAAAGATTCTGGCTTATTCTGAAGTTCTTTTCTAAAACCAATGAGCTGCCAGCTCAAGTACTTTGATGAGATCATTTTCTTTCATTGTATGTTAGACATGATACTTCTAACTGTTTCTGAACTTTTCAATCGGCCTAGCATTATGTTAATTTTGGGGTTGTTTTTTAACTGATGGATTTTCACTATAAAACTTTCCATCAGTGAATTTATACTTGGGCGTCAGTTATTTGACGGATTCTCACACTGTCTTCCAGGGTTGTCAGTTATCTTGTTTACCTCTTGGCTAAGTAGTGACGCAGCATCATGTATCAGTTTTCAATAAGCTTTGTCGTTTACATTGCAGGAAATGAAAGAGGTGAAAGAATTTACTGCAAATTCATACATTGATCAACTGAAGAAACTGCAGGATACGTTGGAGGTGGAACGCAATGAGAGGAGTGAGGTCAGTAGAATATCAGCTGATCGACAACGCACCTTAGAAGACCTTGATGAAAGACTTGCAGCATCCAGGCATTCATGTAAAGAAGCAAATGAAATAATGAAAAGGTAAAAGTTTGTTCTTCTCCTGACAATATCTTCTTTTATTATTGGAAAGAACCATTCATATTTTTTGTCTTAAATTTGACTACATCTGATGTGCCTAAGCTGCTCTAAATGAGAATAATATAGCTAGGGTTGCTGGAAATTGAAAGGAAGTGGGAATTTAGGGGTTTGGGTAGGTTAGGTGGAGGAAAAACCAACACATTTGTCGGTGATAACGTTCAGGGCTAGACGCCACAGCCAAGGGGTTGATAAGCCTAAGAAATCTCAAAGAAATATCTCTTGCAACTCTTGGAAACTCTTATTGAAATCTGAATGCTGAATGCATAAAAACTGAACTAAAAGCCTTCTATATAGAGAGGCTAACCCAAAAGAGAAAACTTCCTTCTACATCTAGGAAACTGAAAATTAATCACTCTACTACTAGGAAATAAATAGCATTCGTACTTAGAAAATCAATAAAGCAAATATAATATAAGACTCCTAACCCTGCGTGGACAGCAATTAAGCATCTCCTCCAAATCCTTGTTGGACAGGGATTGTTGTTGGAAATCTCCGATTCTCAATTAACCTGTAGGCCTTGCTAGTAAAGCCATTTTCACCCATCTTGAATGCTCCCATACTCTTTTTAAATCTCCTAATTCGTCTCTTGACCCATGGTCCATGTAGAGATATAATTCGAACTTGCATAAGGTCAATGTGGGGTGGGCATGTCTCATCAATATATATACAATGCTAGAAGTAAAAAAGTAAGGAGGGCTGTAAATAAACCTACTTCTGTTGCCCTATGTTCTTTATATCTCTCCAAAATTACGAGGGCGCATCTAGTGCCCGTAAAAGCTGTAAGGGGAAAAGGAACTGGACATTTATGCCTTCATGCGAACATTTGAGTTCTGATGCTAATAAGTTCCTTGCCTGGATTCTCATGTTTAGCCAAAAGGCATCCATAGCTGAGCTTGAAGCGCAACTGGAAGAAGAACGAGATCAGAGAAAAGAAGAGCGACTAAAGGGCGCTTCAGATTTAAAGGTGGCAGTTCAGAAAGTTCAATCTGAAGCTCAAGAAGAAATCAAGGCATTATCTGATACTGCTGCACATCGGGAAAAAGAGCTACAAGAAGAAATCAATAAGCTTCAAGAAAGAGAGAAGAAGTGGTGCTCACAGGTTGAAAGTTTGAGGCCCAAACTGGTATGTTTGACGTTGTCTTTCCCGTGGAGTTTCTCGGACTTTAAAATCTGTGCCTCAGTTTCTTTCTTCTTGTTTTAACAGGAGGAAGCAAGACAAAAGTCAGTCATATCTGATAAAAGAATTCGCCAACTGGAAGCTCAAATTTCTGAAGAGCAGATTGCGTCTGCAAATGGAAGAAAGGTATTAATTTTGGTTAAACTAAACTAAATAATGGTGGATTTCTGAAATGAGGCAATTTGACCCAAGTGCCTCACGATTGCCTCATCTCCCAAAAGATGCATTATTACCTGCGTCAACTGCCATTGATGCAAAGCGAGGCAATTCAAATTGCCTTGACCAAATTGCTGCATCACCAGTTTGTGTTGCCAAACCAGGTTATTTGACCCACTTGCTGCATTTTGAGGCAATTTTGCCTCATGGAAATGTTGCATCCAAACGACCCCTAAGGGAATTATGTATATTTTAAGGTGTACCGCTACATAGAAATTATAACATTCTACTCATGTGACACATCAACCTTTTTTTTTTCTGGAGCCAGAGGATAGACGAACTTGAGCAAGAAATGAGAAGATCGAGAAAGGAGCTGGACAGTGAAAAGGTATATATTTGAGTTTTACTTTAAATCTTAAAATAGTATCATGGGGGGTTTTAGGCTGTCATGCGCAGCGTCCTTGTTGAACTTTACCCTCTGAAATCTAGAGTTCATCTGTTTGTAATGCTGCTAAGTGTGAATATGAAAAGCTGCTTCCAAGTTGCTCTAGTTAGTTATGGGTGCGTCTCTGAAGGAAGTATCTTGAATTTTTTTTTGGTGTTGTTAGACCTATGTTGAATGTTTTAAAGCGAGTTGCTGTTGGACTTCACATTATCTGCTCTTTCAGCAAGCATTTGAAATTTGGAAGTTGTTCATTTATGCTACATTGATATTCTGATTGAGGTTAGGTTATGGTGGTGAAAATTAACCGTATTATTATTCTACTACCTACTAGCTGGCTTTCTCTTGGCGTTGAAGCAAAGTCCACTCTAAGCTGAGATATTATTTGGCTGTTGGTTAGCAGGCTGCTCGAGAGGAAGCATGGGCTAAAGTATCAGCCCTCGAACTTGAGATAAACTCTGCTGTGCATGACCTTGACTTCGAGAGGCGGAGATTAAAAGGTGCTAGAGAAAGAATTATGCTCAGGCAAGGAATTATCAACTGTATCTGTTTGCTCATCTTTTTTCCTTTTCTTCTCTGTGTTTGCTAAATGGTATGTGTAGCATATGTATTGGTTGCTCATTTCAATGTACTGCCATCTCTAAATTTGTTGGTCTTTGCAGGGAAACACAGCTGAGAGCATTTTACTCTACAACTGAGGAGATATCTGTACTCTTTGCTAAGCAGCAACAACAACTGAAGGCGATGCAGAAGACTCTGGAAGACGAGGAGGATTACGAAACTGGGTCACTAGATCTTGACATAAATAATGTACTACATGATGGGCACCAAGATGATGTGGTAGCAGACAAGCAATCTCGTTATCACAATGGAATAAATGCTAGGGGTATTGATAGAAATCGAGCTGCTAGCTCTGATGATGAAGCAAGCGCAACTGAAAAGCACGACTGTGATATCAGAAGTCAAGGTGGTGATTACCAGAATACACAAGGTGAAGAGTTCACAAGTGGTGATTGTCAAGTCAAGGGTGGCTTTGGCTCCAATATTGATGTTGACGTTGACACTGCACCAGCTCTTGATGGTGACCCCATTGGTACGGAGCACGTTCTTGAAACTGAGAGCCCTGTAATTAGTAAGATCGGCTCTTTAGCTGCTGGGGATACAATGCAGCTTGATGACGAGGACCCCCAAGTACAAGAAACTGATGAGAGAGTGGAAATCATCCCTGAAGATGAGAAGAGAATGGATGATGATACGGAAGTAGGAGGGACGATTAGGACAGCAGACCTCATCACCTCGGAAGTGGCGGGTAGCTGGGCTCAAAGTACAGCTCCTTCTGTCCAGGGGGAGAATGGGTCCCAACAAAGTAGATACCACAACGAAGATGATGAACAAGGTGTGGGAGCAGCAGGATTTCGTGAATCCGTTGGCCACGTGGCAGAGAGTCAAAGCACACCGCCTTCAAATGCTGCTGCTGCAGTCGCAAAGCAGAATGAACGTGAATATCAAGCATTGACCGAGATGATTGGAATTGTTGCTCCTGATCTGAAGGAGCAATTTGCTGCCCACGGCTCTGTGAATGATGATATGGAGAAGGAAGAAAGGCGGGATTTGTTGTCAAATTCCGATACCGAGTGTTGCAGCGATACCGAGAATGACGATGGTGGCAAAGGTGGATGTGTGTTGGATTCAGAGACAGAGGACAGCGATGAACATGGGGAGGACAGAAAACCTGGTGACGTTTCTATGGATGAAGATGATGAGACGCAGGTAGACTCCGTTTCGTAGCATGACTTTCCGTATTCTTTTCAGACCCAATTCGCCGTCATCATTGCTTCCTTTATGTATCTTTATTCATCACTAGAGTCCATACCCGCGGCTACGCCACGATAACTAAATTTGCAGCAGCATATGATCATATGGCGGGCAGTTCAGTTGATGGCAAATTGGGTTCGTTGTATTATTATCAGTGGTCCGGGTTTCAGGGTATGTATAGTATAAATGTAGGTTTCTATAATTGATGAACAAAATGCTTATCTACTTGGGGTAGCTGAATTTCTTTTCGACTGCAGTCTGTTTCTATCGGGTATAATGTTTACATGTATGGGATTTCCGGGGAATCAGATTTCAGGTGCCAAAATTGGAGTACTTGATCATTATCCTGGGAGAAGTATGAGGATTGTGATATCTGGGACACATGATGAAGCTAATGTTGCCACACAGCTTAGTTCAAGCCTCCATCTGATTGCTCAATTATTGCATCCCGTAGGTTCCTTCTTGTCTACCAATTCGACGCTTCAGCTGCCACTTCTTTTACTCCTGTATGCTGTAGTTTTGGACACTGTAAATGAAGTAATGATGCAGCCATTCTCAAAACATCGAAGATTCTTTGCAGAGAGATGTTATATATTGTATAATGGTATATGCACTAATATCTCTTTATATAACTGTATAATTTAGGGGCTGAAAATTCCCGACCGTAGTTAGACCCATATATGAAGGGTCAAGATATATAACTGACCGCTCCGCTCTCCCCCTTTTTTCCTTCTTGACCCTGTATGATCTTTAGGGTCGGGGTGGATCGAAAAGGGGCAAGTAAGTCGAATCAAATTTATTTTATCATACTGATCAATTCATTCCGTGCAGGTCATTATCAGTAATTTGCACGTATCAATAACTACCCAATTCTAGGACAAGTTTAACCTATAATAACATTGTCATATAGTGGCAATCAAGGTTGTGTTCACTCGGGTCACGGTACCGTAACCTACTTTGCACGTTGTTATCTAGCCGATCTGTTTAAGAGGGTGTGATGGAGGATTCGAGTGAAATAATTAGTAGAGAGAATAAGGATAAAAGGAGGTACATAGGGGAACTAACCCTCGCCCTAACCTAGGTCTATCATGCAAATGTCTAAACATGTTGGGCTAAGGGAATGTGGTGAGTGAGCTCTTTTTCGGGGGCTTTCATGATTATCCACACGCCTCCGAGTACGCCTTACCTACCCAATTGTCACCTCGGTATAGGTTCACGTATCTGGGGCTTTAAGAACTTAGCTCTTTTCAATGGGTGCTACCCGCCCTCCACACCAAGATTTCATCCGGGATTCCATCTAGGAAGTCATTCTTGTGGTAGGGGTTCAGTCGCCTCGTCCACCACAAGACCCTATTCATTCATATAACCCTAATATGCAGAAGGCTCATACCTGTCTAACCCTAAAACTCCATACCCAGCGTAGAAGCTCAAGTAGGATAGTAGAGAATATTAGGATGACTTACCCAAGCATAATTAAAGCTAGAAGAAGCATTAAAATCAACCAGACAAGCACATTCATTTAAAACCCTAGCATATTCATTCATTACATAATAGCCCTAAAACTAGGGTTTGGGAGTTAAAACCCATAGCACCTTAAGAGACTACTTTATAAAGGAGGGAATAAGATACATAGAAGAATTTGGGGAAGGCTTGGTGTTGAAGAAGATAACTTCTCTCATCTAGCTTCTCTTCTTCTCCTTCCTTCAGCTCTCTCTCTCTCTCTCTCTCTCTCTCTCTCTCTCTCTCTCTCTCTCTCTCTCTACTAAAAATTTCTATCTCAAAATCAGCTATCTTAAAATGGGGGAAGAGGTTCTCTATTTATAGACTTCAGGAGGACGGACAAGTTCACGACCGAGCAGGGGGAGATCGCTGTCGTGATCTTTTCCTTCGAGCCTGCGACCTAAATAGGTGTTATTTACCCTTCATACTTAGGTTTATTTTTTGCTAATTCATGTGCATAATCATTTGAATAGAGTCGATTGCATCCCTATTTCGTTCCTATTTGATTATGATGTGATTTTAGAGTGCTTTAGACAATACATGCGAATTAGGTACGAAAAGAACACAAGTGTAGCAAAAGAGGCAGAAGGTTGATGATCACGACCTGGAGAAGGAGATCAGGGGCGAGAACAAAGACTGCGAACTCAAGGCGAAGATCGCGGCCTCTGAGCCCAAGATCACGACCTCGAATTAGGAGCCTTCGAGTGCGAACTTCGTGAAGAAGACAACCGAGGAGAACCAAGAGTTTTCCCAGTCCGATCGCGACCATAATTCACATTGACCACGAGGAAGTTCTACTAGCCTACTTGAGCTTCTACGCTGGTTATGGAGTTTTAGGGTTAAACAGGTATGCACCATCAAGCAAATTGAAGTTTGATGTATGAATAGGATCTTATGGTGGATGAGGCGACCGTACCCTTACCATAAGAATGCCTTGCTAGATAAAACCCGAGATAAACCTCGGTGTGGACAGTGGTAGTACCAATTGTAATGAGCTATGTTCTTAATGCCCAAGATATGATAGCCTAGATCGAGGTGATTGACATGGGTTTAGGGGAGGCGTACTCGAAGGCGTGTGGATAACCACGAAAGCCCTCCGAAAAGAGCTCACTCATCATATTCAAAAAATCCTACTTATCTAGACATTTCATAGTAGACCTAGGCTAGGGTGAGGGATAGTTCCCCGAAGTACCTACTTTTATCTTTATTTACTCTCTTTACTAGTTATTTCGCTTGAATCCTCTAGCACAAACCCTTAAAACGATGGGCTAGATATTAACAACGTTGGACGTAGGCTAGGGTACCGGGACATGAGTGATAATGAACTTGATTTCCAATATATGACAACACCACTCTTGGTTCAACTTGGCCTAGGATGGGGTAGTTATTGAAACGTGCTAACTATTGACAATGACTTGCACGATTGAATCGATCAAGCTTTTTGACGTCGTTGCCGAGGAACCTTGGTAACTAGTAGAAAACCATCGAGTTGTTCGTTTAGCCTTTATTTTCCTTGTTTTGTTTCTGTTTGTGTGTGTTACTTCCGTAGTTTTTATCGTTTTGTGTTTTGTTATCCAGCTTTGTGCGTCACGAATTGTTAAGTTTGTGTATTGTAGCACTTTTGTATGCGAATATGGGACCCTTTAGCGATATTACCTCTTGAAATAGAAATCGAGATAACCCTTCGGAATCTAAGAAGAGTTGTGAGACATCAACCTCCACCAATGGCGGATCAATAACAACAACAACCTCAAGTTCCACCAAGGTCTAGAACAATGGGATCTTACTCAAGGCCTAGTGTGGATAATGTTCAATCACCTATTCTTCACCCAACAGTGCGAACAACAACTATGTGATTAAGCCGGGCACAATTTTGATGCTTCAAAGTGCGGTTCAATTCAATGGGATGATGGGTGAAGATTCTTATGCAAATATCAAGTCTTCTACGAGTTGACAATTTGAATCAAGGAGAGCGAGGTTCCTTAGTAGGCAATTCATCTGAGGTTATTTCCGTTTACTCTAAATGGAGCGGCAAAGCAATGGTTGAATAATCATCCCCATCACTCCATCGTCTCGTGGGATGACCTATGCAACAAGTTCTTTGCACGATACATTCCACCTTCTAAGACGACTCTAATGAGAAGCAAGATTACTGTGTTTCGTCAAGATGAGGATGAACCATTGTTTGAAGCATGGGAATTTTTTACGTCTCTCCTACTCAAATGTCCACACCATGGCATCGCCTATTGGTTACAAGTGGAAAATTTTTATAATGTTTTAACAAGGGAGTCACACCACTCATCGATGCGGCTGGTGCAGGTACCATAAGGAACAAGGAAGTCGGTGAACTTCAAAGATTGATAGAAGAAATGGCCCTAAATAGCTACGATTGGGGGGGGGGGAAGGATAGGTAAGAGTGCGAAGAAGGGAAATCTATTGAAGATTGAAGAGCCATCGTCGTTAACGGTTCATATACAAGAACTTTCCAAGAAAATTGATCAAGTTGCATCATCAATGAAAGTAAATGGGAAGCAACTCATGAAATGTGATTGGTGTGGCGACTCGAGTCACACCATGGAGGAGTTTAAGTCTATGATTGAGGCCTCGATACAATTTTAGCAAGCCAACTTTTTTGGAGGGAAATCCCGAGGAAACAACCCTTATAGTTCTACATATAATCCGGGTCGGAGGAACCATCCTAACTTTCTTTGGTCTTCTTCGACGAATAGAAAGCCTCCGGGGTTTCAATCTCAAGCCCTTATGCAAAATGCTTACCCAAGGCCAAGTCAACCCTCATACTGAGGAGCATACAAAGAACAAAGTCAACCATCCGATTAAAGTCTCTAAACTTGAAGACTTGGTAGGCCAATTTGTTAGACATTCCAACAAGAAGTTTGAGGCTATTGACAAATTCATAGAGAATACTACGACCCAATGCTCCAGTTTGGAATCGTGTTAAAGGAATCAACAAGCTTCACTTCAAAATCTTGAATCCCAACAAAGCTCGTTGGCACAAGCTCTATTGTCAAGACCACAAGGAACTTTACCGGGCAATACCGGGGCCTAATTCTAAGGAGGGATGTCATGCGGTAACTCTAAGGAGTGGCCGACCTTTGAAGAAGGTTCCTATCTCAACACTGTAAGAGAAGTTCAACATGAAGTTGTTCAAGAAAAAGAGTTAGTTCGGGAAGAAGTGGAACCTACTACCGAAATCAAGATTGAAGATGAGGAGAAGTTTAAGAAGATTCAAGCACCCGATCCAACACCAAAAGCTCCTTATCCTGTACGGTTATTCAAAAACCATCTATATCATGAATATACTCTATGTAAGGATGCCTTGAAGCAATTGAAATTAACAGTCCCTTTCTTAGACATTATTATGAAGATTCTGAAATATAATAAGTTCTTGAAAGAAATATTGATGGGAAAGAGGAAAATGGAAGAAGTTTCTATGGTATTCGTTAGTGAAGCTG